TGTGTTCCTGATTGCCCCCAACCGCTTCGCCCTGCCAGCCTGATTGATGTCTAACCACTCTCCTGCCAACCTGTTTGCCCCCAACTCCCCCCCTCTGCCAGCCTGGTCACCCCAAACTGCCCTCCCCTGCAGGCTTGATCACCTCCAACTACGCTCCTTTGCAGGCCTGATCTCTCCCAAATGCCCTCCCCAGCTGGCAGGATCACCCACAATTGCCGCCCCCTCCTTGCTAGCCATCTTCTGTCCACATGGGGGCAGGATCTTTGATCACATGGGGGAAGCCATTTTGTGTGTTGGAGTGATGGTCAATCTGCATATTACTCTTTTATTAGATAGAATAGAGGCCTGGTGCATGAGAGTGGGCCAGCTGGTTTGCACTGAAGGGTGTCCCGGATCAGGATGGGGGTTCCCTTGGGGCATGGGTGGACCTGGGCCAGGGTCCTGTGGCAATTTGCAGGCCGGCCATGCCCCCAGCGACCCAAGCAGAGGCCCTGGTATCTGGGATTTATCATCTACAATTGAAACTTTATAGCCTGGAGCAGAGGACAAAGCAGGCCAGGGCTGCCGAAGCTTGGCTTCTTCCATCCCTGGGGGCAACCGTAGCTTCCCACTCTCTCTAGCTCTGTGGCTGCTACCATTTCTGTTGGGATTTATGTCTAGCCCTGTGGCTACCATTCCTGTTGGGATTTATGTATCTTCTATAATTGACACTTTGTAGCCTTAAGCAGAGGCCTGGGCTGGCCAAGGTGTGCGGAAAGCTTGGCTTCCTCCATCACCAGGAAAAACCAAGCCTCCCTCCTGCTCTCTCACTCTTCTTTGGGTTAATTTGCATAGTCGGTCCTGATTGGCTGATAGGCGTGGCTTGTGGTTGTAGTGGAGTGATGGTTAATTTGCATATTGCCCTTTTATTAGATAGGATTCCAAGAATAGACGGGCGGACCAGTTTCTCTTCCTATACAGACACTGAAGGCTCTTTGGGACTATTCAGACTCTGCCTTTTTTTTTTTTTTCTTTTTTTTTCTGTTAAGCTCAAAATGCAGGATGTGGCAGGAAGTATCTGCTTCCCTGAGTCTACTGGGATGGGATAGGTCTTCTGGGGAGAAATGGCCACTTAGGTTTGAAAGATTAAGTATGTCATACTTCTAGCAATATATCCCCAAAAGTCAGAAACACCAGTCAGAAAGCATATATGCACTCCTATGTTCATAGCAGCACAATGGTAGTTATAAGAGCAACAATTTGGAAACAGCCTAAATGCCCATCAGCAGATGAGTCGATTAAAAACCTGTGATACATCTACACAAGGGAATATTATGCTGTTGTCAAAAAAGAAGGAAATCTTATTATTTGCAACAGCATCAAAGGACCTAGACAGCATTATGCTAAGGGAAATAAAGCCATCAGAGAAAGATAAATATCACATGACCTCACTCATTTGTGCAATATAATGAACATAAACTGATGCACAAAAATAGAGCCAGTGTCACAGAAGCATTGAACATGCCATCCAAACTAAGAGGGAAGGCCCAGGAGGGGGGTGTCAAAGATCAACCGAAGGACTTGTATGCTTGCATATGAGCATAACCAGTTGGCATAGACAGCAAAAGGGTGAGGGCATGTGCTTTTGGGTAGGAGCAGGCAGATAGAGGTCAATGGGAAGGGGGGAGGAGACTTATGTAATAATTTAAAAAATAATTTAGAGAAAAAAAGAAAGAAAAAAAGAATGCTCTTGGCTATGTCTCCCTGTCCTGCTTTCCTCCTCAGGCACCTTAAGCCTGTGCCTCTCTCCCTGCTCCAAAGCCCCAGGTGAGTGTCTGCAATAGAAAAGTCCTGTGTTCTGGGTTTAGAGAATAAAAGCAAAGACAAAACCAAGCCAAAACAATGCAACTGCACTTTTGTCTCTCCCCAGCACCTTGCTGTTTGGCCCTCCTGTCATGGGGCAGCCTTTCCGTCCAGTTTCCCCAGCAGCCAGCTGCCCTGTGGCTTTTCCTTTATGCACTTGGACGTTACCCACCTCGTGAAGGGACACAGCTTTGGCGCAACACTGCTTTCTGCTCACCCTCTTGACCCACTGGCTTGCTGTCCCTGGAAAGTCCACTTCCCAGTTCTTGCCATTCTCCCGTGCCCTTCCTTGTTGTAAATGGTCTGCTCAGCTGCATCTAATTTGTTAATACAAGTGGATGTTCTTTGATTTAGTTGTATTTTCAATTGGGCTCAGGACAAGATGCACAATACTACTGCCTAATCGGACACCATTTATTTGTTTTTTACCACTTTCTGATCCTTGCTGTTAAAAGCCACCAGAGTGATTTCCATACAGCTTGTAAATGCACAGGGCATGCTCCCTGCAGGCTCCCATCTGAGTCTGCCAGCCCTTCACAGAACTCTTCAGTGAAGTCCCCACTGACCAACGCTAGTTTCACCTTCCCCCATACTGCTGTCACCTGTCACGGGTATCCTGGTCCTTTCTTGTGGACTGTCCTCCACTAGATGCCAATTCCCAAGGACAGGGGACTCTGCATTTACAGCACCTGAAACAGTTGGGCTCAACAGTATCCACAGCTTCCATCTTTATATATGTCCCTTATGCCCACCCATGGCTGCTGACCCTCCATCCAACCTGATCCAAGTTCTCATCCCTACAGCTTCCCTCAGCCTACCCACTCAAGGAACCTGGCCGATGATGTGGCAAACGGACGTTCACAGGAACCCAACCTCTCTGCCCCTCAACCGTACACCCTAGCAGCACACTATTCCCCATAAACCAAAATTTATCACCTCATTTCAGGTCTTCTATGCAAAGGAAAAACTTAGGGAGGGGTTACACCAACCACATCTCAATCTCAGAATGTGGACTTTTATTGAGACAAACCCTCTCCTTCTGGAAATGCTTGTATTGCAGCTTGTTCTCACCACTGAAAATATACAGCACCATCTCCTGTAGCATCCACACTACCTCCAGGACTGTCTGGGTAAGGGGAAGGAGAGAGGAGTGCTTTATTTTTGATAAAATCAAAGTGCAAAATAATCCCTAAAATGGAAAAGAGACTTAAACACCAGTGGGTCTCAGGGGTGTGAGTGGGTTGTTGGAGGCAGGACTCTCTAAAGATGAACTGATTTGGGGGTCCAAAGCATCAAGGGGCTTCTCCCAGATACAGAAGTGGGCTCATTTGCAGCAGGAAGGTGCCTAGGGGGGTGGGGAGAAGCACTCTGGATGGAAATAGATGAGCCCCGGCCAATACATCTTAGACACAGAACCCAAATTCCCACCAGGGCCCTGACTGGGCCTCTTCTCTTCCAAACCCTGGGAAGGACACAGTGTGCCCAGCTACAGTGGGAATGTCCCAGGCAAAGGCAGGAAAGAGTGAGTAAAGTTAGGCTGTGCAGGCAGAGGCCTCATCTCAGGGCACCAGAGTGAATGTTTGGATTTTTTGGTAATCCTCATCTGAGGATATTTTGAGAGAGAGAGAGAGAGAGAGAGAGAGAGGGGGAGGGAGGGAGGGAGGGAGGGAGGGAGGGAGGGAAGGGGAGAAAGAGTGCAAGGGAAGGGGGAGAAGAGAGACATATTGAGAGAGACATCAATATGAGAGAGAGAAAAGAAATCAGATGCCTGCTATATCCCCGAATGTGCTGGGATCAAACATGAAAACTGGAACCCCAAAGTCAAGTAGTCTTTCTTTTAAGGCCTTGGGCAGCAATGCACTCACTATAAGCCAATATTGGCCAAAGCGTAATTTTCTAGTATTATGCTGTCCCTCCTAAAGCACAGAAAGGTTGGAATTCAAATAATATCCGTTAACTCTATGATGATATATCATAATTTTGCTTGACAATCATCCCTAGAAGTGAAAATAGAAAATGAAATAAAAGAATTAAGGTACTAAAGAAAAATCTTTACTAAAAATTCATAAAGCAGAAGAGAGTACAGTAAGCAATTTGCAGGTTGGTGAGGTAGAAAGTAAAACAATTCATAAAAGCATAATCCAATAAAAAATCTCTTCAGCTACAAATGTATCAGGTAGTAGATCTGGGCATGTCCTTGAATCCGCACTTTTACTGGAAACACATGAGGAATACAGTACACTGTATGATCCATTAAAAGGGCTTACGTTAAAAAAAACACAAAAAAAGATCCCATTGACTTTCAGTGTTGTTATTTTAAGTGAATAAAATAAAAAATTCCTGCACATTTAACACTCTTCTCCAGTGTAAACTTTCAGATGTTTAATAAGACTTGATATACGGCTAAAAGACTTCCCACATTCAGTACACTTATATGGCTTCTCTCGTGTGGATTCTCAGATGTTGAATAAGGTCAGATTTACTGCTAAAAGACTTCCCACATTCAATACAGTCATATGGCTTCTCTCCAGTGTGAAGTCTCTGGTGTTTACTGAGTGCACTTCGGTCACTGAAGGACTTCCCACATTCACTACATTCATGTGGCTTCTCTCCAGTGTGGACTCTCAGATGTTTAATAAGGTGAGATTTTTGGCTAAAAGACTTCCCACATTCAGTACACCCATATGGCTTCTCTCCAGTGTGAACTCTCTGGTGTGTAAAGAGTGTACTTCCGCAACTGAAGAACTTCCCACATTCAGTACACTCATATGGCTTCTCTCCAGTGTGGACTCTCTGGTGTTTAATTAATGTACTTCTTTCACTGAAGGACTTCCCACATTCAGTACACTCATATGGCTTCTCTCCAGTGTGAACTCTACGGTGTTTAAGGAGTGTACTGCTGTCACTAAAAGACTTCCCACATTCAGTACACTTATATGGCTTCTCTCCAGTGTGAACTCTCTGGTGTTTAGTGAGTGAACTTCCGTAGCTGAAGGACTTCCCACATTCAGTACACACATGTGGCTTCTCTCCAGTGTGAACTCTCTGATGTGCATTGAGTGCACTTCTTTGCCTGAAGGAATTCCCACATTCAGGACAGTTATATGGCTTTTCTCCAGTGTGAACCCTATGGTGTTTAGTGAGTGTACCGCCGTCACTGAAGGACTTCCCACATTCAGTACACTCATATGGCCTCTCTCCAGTGTGAACTCTCTGGTGTTTAATGAGTGCACTTCTTTCACTGAAGGACTTCCCACATTCAGTACACTCATATGGCTTTTCTCCAGTGTGAACTCTCTGATGTGTAATGAGTGCACTTCTTTGGCTGAAGGACTTCCCACATTCAGTGCACTCATATGGCTTCTCTCCAGTGTGAACTCTGAGGTGTTCAGTGAGGTGAGCTCTTAGACGGAAGGACTTCCCACATTCACTACACTCATACATCTCTTCTCCAGGATGAACTCTCTTATGTCCAATGAGGTTAAGGAATCGTCTAAATACTTTCCTACATTTCTTACACTCATAAATCGCTTCCCCAGAAAATTCACCTTGACATCGAACAACTTCCCTGATGTGGCAGACAGCATTTTCACAGTAATCCCACTGGTGATGACTTTTACAATCAAGAAATTCCTGTGAAATCTCACTGCCACAGGGTAGCTCCTCGGTGTTGAGAGTGGCCTGGTGCTGCGGAAGCTCTGAGTTGTATCGCAGATCTTCCCCAACCTCCCTGCTAGTTGAAGGCACCACCGAGAAGTAGAAGCTGTACCTGCTCACATAGGATGCCCTGTCCATAGCTTGTTTCCAAGCCTCCTCTCCACATTCTTTCCTCTGCTGCTGGTGAGGGTTTGCACTGAAATGGAAGTCTCCAACATATGCATCACTACAGAAGGTTTTCTCCTCAAAGTATGTTGAATGTGAACCAGTTAGGTGCAAAATATATTGTAACACAGAGAAACACCGCTTACACAAAAGGGTCCTCTGGGTGGCTGGAGCTGTCTTAGAAGCCCTGTCCTGTGACTCTCCTTGTATAGATACACTATGATCAGAACAGGCCTCCTCATCATCCATTTTATGCTGACAACCTGAAAAGTGAAAAATGGTGAGAAAATGAATGTTGACTGTGTGACAGGGGGAAGTGTCATTGCAAAAGTGTGTTACACATCACACGTTGATTTCATGAAATTGGTGAAAATAAAAGATGTGCAGGAAGGATGAATAAGAGGCTCTTGTGACTTTTTTGGGCTGATGAAGATCCCAAGACAGGGAGGCCTCAACAGAAGTATGATAGAAACATGGAAAGCACCACATGGATTAGAATATGGATTCCAGCTCATCCTTTAACTAACAGCATTCACCATGGCTTATCTGCTGGGGACCGGGAGAGCTGTGCGAGAGGTTGGTTCCATCCTACCCAAACTAAAACTCAATAAAGGAGTAGCTGGTTTTGAAAACTACTTAGCACATATGTAAGTGCACCTCATAACATATGTGCAAGTCAATGTTGCTGAATACTGTGGAGGTACCAGTGCAGAGGAACAGGTGATGAAGTAGTGAGCAGTCAGCCCTGGGCCTGAGCAACACAGCTTGCTTTAGTATTCAGAGAAGCATGTGGACACTGTCAGCTTCCCATTAAGGGAAAGTGCAAACTGGGACCCAATAAGCTCACTGCAAGACGCCTGACTCCCTACCACTTAATGTACTTTTTGAGATAACAGGTGTTATGGATGATCGTGGAGTCCTTCAGTCAGGCTGGCAGCCACAGCACATTTGACAGGACAGTGGGGGAAATTAGCAGAGGCAATGTTCTGGCTGTGATAGAGAAAGCTATGCCTGAGGAATAAAGGGAGTGAGGTCATCACCTCAGGACACTGGGACAACATGGAGGTCTTACCTACAGATGATACCAGTGCAAACACTTCCAGCATCACATCGCAGTACAGACGTCTCTGAGCCTCATCAAGGAGCCCCCATTCCTCCTGAGAGAAGGTAATGGCCACATCCTCAAAGTTCACATCCTGTCATAATGGGGACAGTACAGCTCATGACCAGAGTCACTCCCGATATTATAAGTCTATCCTACTACCCACCTTCCAATCCCATCTGTTCTTTCCACTCTTCACATGTGAGAAAATACCAGGCCTTCATTCCATGAAAGCCACTGTCTTCTTATATTCCTGCTGATATTTTTCTTCCAACAACAATTAAGGCAGTTGAGTAGATAGAAGATACCCGAGCTCTGGCCCTCCCATGTACGCCACACTGCCTCTTATCAGTAGACTGGGTGTCAAAAGCATAGGTTAGTGAGGGATATTGGCCCTAAAGACAGCGTGAGTGGTTTGATACTGTTTTCTCAGGAAATAGCATTGTAGTCCCTCAGATTGTTCCCCTAAGACACCAAAAACATGGCATCAAATGTCGCCCTCTGGACCCCAATCCCAATGTGGTGAGGCCATTGCTTTGTACTACCTGCTGCACATAGTTCCTTGAACAACATTCATCTCACACAGCTTCCTTCACAGAGGCACTACTTCAAAGGAAATGCAAATATGCCATGTTGTGGATAAATTATTTCCTAATCACCTTCTTTTCCAAAATTATAGTTCACCACCTCCAAAATCTAGTTCTCTCTTACCCATCTTCCTTACCCATGCCAGTGGAGATTTACAAGGTTGGGTAACACTGATAAATGCTATCTCATTCCTTTCAATCAGTGCGTCAAACCAACAACAAAAGGCAGCAGGTTAAAGCCTGGAGCAGCCAGGTGGGGAGCTGCCAGGCCCAAAACAGCAGCAGCCAGGCTGGGAGTGGCCAGGCCCTGGTAGCAGCCGGGCCCAGAGCAGCCAGGCCCAGAGCATCAGCAACCAAGGCTGGAGCAGCCAGGTCAGGAGCTGCCAGGCCCGGAGTGGCCTGGCCCAGGAGCAGCCAGGCCTGGAGCAGCAGCTTCCAGGCTGGGAGTGGCCAGGCCTGGAGCAGTGGGGTAGGGTGCGGTCAGGCCTTGAGCAGCAGCTGCCAGGCTGGGAGTGGCCAGGCCCAGAGCAGCCAGGTCAGGAGCAGCCAGGCCCGAAGCAGCAGCTACCAGGCTGGGAGCGGCAGTGGCTAGACCCGGAGCAGCTGGTTGTGGAACGGACCAGAGCAACAGAGGCCAGGCCCTGAGCAGCCAGGCCCAGAACAGCTCGCTCCTTGCCTTCCCCCGTCCCAATGCTGCCTCTCTGACATGGCTGGAAACTTTTGGGAGAACTTGTGGGTCTGCTGAATCAAGTGATGAAGGCTTAGATCTGGATGTGTTGAGTTAGTATAGCGCTGGGTTGTTGATCTGTGAGTGCCTTGTGTGGGGCCTGGATGAGGTTGGTTGATCTATTTGGAAATGTCTTTTGTGTGAAGTGTATCCTTGGGCATGTGGAGGTCTTATTGATTTGAGAAAATGCTAAGTAACTGATTTACTATCTGAAAAATTTAAAGTTCTGAAAGTTTAAGGTCTCTTGCCAAAAAGAGGTTTTAAAGCTAACACCTTAATTTGAATGGAGAAAGGGAATGACAAGCCCTTCCCACTCAGAACATGTAATCCAATTCCAACCAGCAGCTATCTTTAAACAATGTGTCCATCTACACTTGAATGGCTACACCTTTTGATAGCCTAAGGGCAAGTTTACATGTAAACAAGTTTGCTTCTCAATTCCCAGGGCAGAAAAAAAAACAAGGTTTAAAATTATTAGATTGAAAAATTTATTCTTAGAAGTGTAAAAGTTTATTAATTAAAAACAACAACAAGCCGAGACCGGTTTGGCTAAATGGATAGAGCGTCGGCTTGGGAATTGAAGGGACCCGGGTTAGATTCCAGTCAAGGGCATGTGCCTTGGTTGCAGGCATATCCCCAGTAGGGGGTGTGCAAGAGGCAGCTGATCGATGACTCTCTCTCATCGATGTTTCTAGCTTTCTATCTCTCTCCCTTCCTCTCTGTACAAAATCAATAAAATATATTTTAAAAAATAAAAACAACAACAACAACAACAACAACAAAAGGAGATTGAAAAACCTGATGAACAATAATAGCTGTTCATTGTAGTAGAGTCGGTGATATGGGACTGGAGTGGACTGACTGTTCTCGGGGAAAGGGGGAGTGGTGGAGGGAGGAAGAGACTGAACATAAAACTGTGCACCTATGGATGAGGACAATGGGGGGTGGGGAGGGGATTGAGGGTGGTGTGGGAACCTGGTGGAGGGAGGAAGAAATGAGGAACCTTTGTAATAATATGAACAATAAAGTTTGATAAAAAAATAAAACCAAAAAACAGAAAATAAAACAAACAAACAAAAAAAACACACACAAAAGGCAGGTGGTTAGTTAAATGACACCTAAGCTCTTAACCTAGAATTTAGTACTCAAGCACCTCTCTTTACAGGCAATTACACAGCAGTTCACCTTATTGTTACATCCAGGAACCACCAGAAATAGACTCTTCCTTCAGTCACTCTTATGTCAATGTCATGGTGCTGAGGCCATAAATTCACATTCCCTCTCTGAGTGCACATCACTCTTTCTACCACACTTCTCTCACACCTGCACTTCCACAGCCCCAGCCCCCATCAGCATCCCCTGGCCTTTTACTAATTACTCAGCATGTGTGACCAGAGGATGGTTACCATATTCAATCAGGATCAAGCACTGCCCAGACTCTGATAGTCCACACTCATAGACACAGCCTTGATTCCTGCTACATATGCCTCTCACCATGACTGTTTATTTCCTTCAACCTCAACTATTAAGAACAACAATCAGATCTCAGATATATATAGCCCACCTCCTCTTATGCTGCACTTGATGTCCCTTCACTAGTCACAGCCAACATCACTCACTTAACCTTCACTCAAGTCCCAGCCCCGATGGTCCTCTCACAGATGACCACTCAAGTCTTCTAGCTAATCCACAACACTGACTGCAACTCCCCACATTCAGACCACACCAAGAGTCACAAGAAAATCCTGGTGAAAGTTTAGAAATGTTGATATGTCCCAGCCTTAGTCCCATCTTGTTTAAATTACTCTTTGACCTCCATTAATCTCAAATCCACTCATCTGTTAACGGCTTTGGCCATTGTTAAACAATTATCTGTTCCCCACACTCTACATGACAGTTTCTGTCCCTGTGCTGTGTTGTAACACCCACTTCCCACAAACAGTGGCCCCAGGAAGAAAGTTAGTCCTCAGGCTCACACTTTGCCTTCTGAACTACTACTCCCATTACCAACCTGACCATGATTCCCTGTAGTACAGTGATATACTGTCCTAGATGATGTATCTCATTTTGTTGAGCATAGACCCATACACTGGTATGAGGTCACACGCCTGGTTTGTGGGCTGGATCCACAGTAGGTATTTGCAGGTGGTGTTACGCCCAGACTTCGTGATCCCCAAGGACCACCAGGGAGCCGAGTCCGATGCAATAAACAAAAGAGCCTCTTCCATGCTAGCATGGGCTCTGTCCCACTCACGCCGACAGCATGGGGGAAGAGAGACCCAACTTCGACAGGTCAAGGGGTTTTATAAGGGTGGTGATGTCACTGCTTTGGCTGACCCTGATTGGTTGGGTGAGGGTTAGGGTCCAGTTACAAAATGGAGGACAGCTCCGCCCTGCCCCACAGTACAAAATGGAGTCAGGAGTTAGCCTCGTCCCACCCTGCCCTCTCAGTGGCAAAAAATACCTATTTTTTGCTCATCCCTGTGGCTCTGTCTCTTGTAGAGAGCAGTCTGGGAAGGCACTTGGACATTCTTTTAATTCTTATCAGCTGAGCCCGAGGGCACTGGCAGAATCCTGTTATCAGTACTGATTTCTTGTCTTTATCCTTGTGCTTGGAATGAGAAACAAATAGGACCTTTACTTACCCAGATCTTGATATGCTAAATTTCAGAAAAAAAAATGAGGAGCTTACCCAGATCTTGATGAATAGGATCTGGGCACACCCAAAACTCCTTTTGACCTTAACCTCCCCTTTGGAAACCAATAAATATGCTGTGTTGTCTGTGGTGAAGATGACTGCCTCTCCATCAGTCTCTCTCACTCAGCCCCCTCCCCCCAAATTCTTTCTACATCTAAAATCAATAAAAATATATATGTATTTTTATAGACATACCCTGCAGGTTCCTGATTCAGCTCACTCTTTACTCCAAGCCTTTGCACATTCTGGAACGTATGTCTGGAGGACCTCACACTCACTACACCGGTTGTCAGAAACAAGGTCCACATCATGAAGCCCGACCCCTGGCCTTAGGATTCTGGGCTCAGTGTCTGTTCAAAGTCCCCAAGTCCAAGGGCTACAACAGCGGTGGACAGTCCCAACTCTACTATCTCAGGTCGAAGTTAGAACAGTAGGGTTAAAATTCAAACAGCAGTTTTTACCCAAGTATGGTTGCTACCATATTTCTACAATAAAATATAAATAATACGGGTACTGTCTGCTAAATTCAAGAAAACTTATGTATTTATGAAATAAATTACTTACCTAAATTATCTGAATAGCTGATTTGTAATGACATCACTTGTTTAGCTTACTAGCACGCAGTACCATGTGTATTGTCTGAGAGACAGTCACAAAATGTTTTCATCGTTTCGGACTTTGATAAGCAGTTCTCAACAATTATTTGTTATGTTTAAAGTTTAACATTACAAAATTAACAAAAATGATATAAAACTCATATTCTGGCTCAATAGCCACACGGCCGCCGAAAACCGTCTATTCCCTTCCCGTCTCCCGCCGTTCCCTAGCTTGTCGTGCATTCTTCCTAAAAATCGGGACTTTTTAAAATGCCGTGGGACTCGGGACACATTGTTAGAAATCGGGACGTCTGGTTACCTTACCATACACCTAACAGATTCTACATTTATAGGATTTTGTGGAAAGATTATGGTCTGTTGGGAGCCTGGCAACCACCAGGCTCTATGGGCTCAGGCTGCTCAGTGCCCTCGCCCAGCCCTGAGGCCAGATGCCCTCCAGGTGCCAGTTTGATCCCTGGGCTCAGTCCTCAGTGCTCACTCTTCCAGTTCCCTTATCATTTACAGGACTGCCCCTTCCTGTCCACAACCGCTGGCCTGTGTCTTCTAGTCTGTTCTTCCTCTGAGCAATGTCAGGAAAAGTTTGAATCCTGCCTCAGAGCCGAAACCGGTTTGGCTCAGTGGATAGAGCGTGGGCCTGTGGATTGAAAGGTGCCGGGTTCGATTCCGGTCAAGGGCATGTACCCCAATAGGGGATGTGCAGGAGGCAGCAGGTCAATGTTTCTCTCTCATCGATGCTTCTAACTCTCTATCCCTCTCTCTTCCTCTGTAAAAAAAAAAAAAAAAAAATCAATAAAATATATTTTTAAAAAAAGTATCCTACCACAGAAAATGTTTTTTTTTGTCTTTTTTTTTTTTTTTTCACAACCATCTATGGCCCCAGCGTTCTGAGAATGAAAGTAAAACTCCTCGTGCAAAAACCACATCTCATCTCATTGTTGCCTTTACACTAAGGTGACCATTGTAAAGGGACGCGGGACGAATTGTTTAAAAATCGGGACTGTCCCGCCAAAAGCGGGACATCTGGGCACCTCACTTTACACCCCAAACAGGCCCGGGTTCCCCATCCTCCCCGCTCACTGCCACCACCGCCTCCTCACACAGTGGCTCTGCCGCCCCCCACCCTCCTCCCCGTCACCCCCGCGCCCCCAGGAGGGACTCACCATCCTGAGCGCGGGGCCCGGGGCTGCGGGACCGGGGAGGCCGCGCCCCAGGCGGGAGGGTCCGGGGGGTCAGGCTGCGGGGACGCTGGGAGCGGAGAGGAGCCGGGGGGCGCGGAGACGCCGATCTCCTCGGGCTGTGGGGGCTCCCGGCGCCTCAGACACGCCCCACCCCGCAGGCAGCGGCCCCCAAAGGCCTCCTCCTGCTCCCGACCGGCGCCCTGAAGCCTGGGACTCTGTGGACAAAGACCGAAGAAGTTAAAATGACCACCTAGAGGAGGAAGGCGGAAGTCCCGCCCTAACCGGATGCGCAGGCACCAAAATGCCCTTTAGCTCCGCCCACACGCGTGCACGTCCTTCTGGGTAATGTAGTTTTCTCAGTAGCGGAGCAGAGTTAGCAACCCAACCAAAGAGTTAGGTGAATACAAGTGTTGGGGCAGAGTGAGTGATGGCTGGGGAAGGACAAGGTGCGTCCAGAGGGTTGGCTGACTGCAAACGAGGGACAGATCTCCTAGGGGCAGAGGGTAGTAGGACTACAAGAGATTCACCAAAGATATATACACAGGGGGGAAATTGAAGACATTCGTAATAGTATCAACAATGTAAACTACAGGTATTTATTTTTTAGTTTGTATTTAAAAATATATTTTATTGATTTTTCACAGAGAGGAAGGAAGAGGGTTAGAGAGCTAGAAACATCGATGAGAGAGATACATTGACAAGCTGCCTCCTGCACATCCCCCACCAGATATGTGACCGCAACCAATGTACATGCCCTTGACCAAAATCGAACCTGGGACCCTTGAGTCCACAGACCGACGCTCTATCCACTGAGCCAAACCGGTTTCGGTGGTATTATTATTATTATTATTATTATTATTTTTTTAAATAATGAAGCCCAGTTGGTGTGTCTCAATGGTTGAGCATTGACCTATGAACCAGGAAGTTGTTCTTTTCCTAGTCAAGGCACAACATGGGTTGCAGGCTCAATTCCCAGTGTAGGGGTGGAGTCGTGCAGGAGGCAGCTAATCAGTGATTCTCTCTCATCATTGATTTTTTTATGTCTCCCTCTCCCTTACACTCTATAAAATCAATGAAAAAACTTAATAATGTACACATATACATGTGGGAACCCCTTTCACATCCCACCCGGTTCAGGGTTCTGGTTCAGGGTTTGAGTTCTGGAGAAGGGCCGCACACAAACGAAAGAGACTAGAAGAATTTTACTTTCGAGATATGGGGGGCCAGACAGGAGCCCACCTCTAGTGGGAGAACTACTCACTGTTCTGGCCCTTCTATCCCTTTTATTGAGGCTATGAGGAAAACATTCATAGGCCCTTAAGTCCCCTTTGCCAATGAGTAACTAGATACCCCGGAGAGGGCTCGGGGTCCTTTGGGACGGCTGATTCCTGGAGAGCAGGTCTCTCCCTTACGCATGGGATATCTCGGCTAACAGGTAATAGAGGAAGGTACCTGGGCTGTTCTGAGCATCACTCCTGGACCTGCCATCTCTGCTCATCTACTGAGTGTGCATGGTCTCCCTGTAACACCAGGACCAGGAGGCAGAATGGGCTCAGTGCTCTCTGCAGTGGGGATGGGGAAAATATGAAGGGACCACATTTAGCACAGGTTCCTGCACAGAATGAACGGAAACCACAGGATCACCATGGGGGTTATATCAGCGTTTTCCAATCAGCCCCAATCTGATGGAGCACTCACCTGGGCAATGCACATGAGAAGGAGGCTTGGAGGCAGGGTAGTGACTGCTGTGAATATAAGAGAACATGGACGCTGGAATGCTTGCAGTCCAGTAACCTTCCCAGGCAACTCTCTTAATATGTGGACTTCACACCCACCACAGTGGGGGACCCAGGCAGCAGGGAGTTACCCAGGGTCACACTCAGAAGTGGGTTCTGATTTTTCCGCCAATGACATCTGACCAAACTCCTTTTTTTGAAGTTCACTCCTAAAAGTATTGGGTTTTGGAAAGCTCAGGGACAAAGTCTAGGTGGATGAGGAGAAAGGCAACCAACCATTCTAACGGACTTCCACTGCCATTCACTACCAGTGCCTACTCCTCTCCTTTTCCCCTGAGCAGCCCCAAAAGTGGCTGGCACCATGTGGTCGCCTTTGGACTGGGGCCCATCAAGTAGGTCAGGCTCTACTACTGACCGTGATGTTGGCTGCAGCCAGTGATAGGCTTTGACCAATGAAATGTGGGAGTCGAGCCTGTCACCTTAACAGAAGAGTCTGGAACCAGAGAGACAGGCCGCCCTCTCTGTCCATCTCTGATAACACCCAGCAGGAACCTACATGTTGGCCGCTTCTTTATCCTGATTCCAGCAGAGCCAGGGTGTTCATGTGCTATAAACAAGAAAGAAACCTTCTTTACTGTAAGGCATTAAAGCTTTGGGGTTGCCCATTACCCACAATAACATCTAGCCAAATGGAAATGCATCTCCGATTCTACCCTCTAGGAGGCAGCAGAGCCTAAAATTACTACCCAGAGCAAGGTGGTTAGAGACACATGGGTTTGACTTCTAGCCATGCCTTTATTAACTCTACAAACAAGCAATTAATTTTGACTCTGAGCCTGGATTCCCTCCCCATCAAATAGATTGTGAAACCATATCAAATTGCTAAGAGGATTAAATGAAATAATAATATATGCAAAGCATTGAATCCAGGCTATGCACTTGTAGTAAACATTCAGTAACTCTTAGCTCCTTAACATCACAATGTGTACTGACTACAGACATGCAGACCATATGGAAAATGTCAATATGTTGGCCTATATATCCTTTTAAATTTTTTTTAAACCAGTAGGATAGGATTACATATATTCTCTCATAGCCTGCTTTTACTCTTAATAATGTAATATTTTGATGTAAAAAAAGGGAGAGAGATAAGCTGAAAAGGCTCAGTTTACTGAGCATAGACCCATGCACAGAGAGATTGCTGGTTCAATCATTATTTGAGGGCACCTGCTGTTGTTATGGGCTGTAGTCCATTAGTGGGTCATGTCCAGGAAGCCACTGTATGTTTCTATCCTTCTTCTCTCTATAAAAGTCAATTAAAATACCTTTACATATATTTATATTTAGATTTGTAATCTTTTAAAAATATATTTAATTGACTTTTTTATAGAGAGGAAGGGAGAGAGATAGAGAGTCAGAAACACTGATGAGAGAGAAACATCAATCAGTTGCTTCCTGCACACCACCCACTGGGGATGTGCCCACAACCAAGGTACATGCCCTTGATCGGAGTTGAACCTGGAACCTTTCAGTCTGCAGGCTGACACTCTATCCACTGAGCCAAACCTGTCTTGGCTAGATTTGTACTCTTAAGGAATAATTGAAATAATTCTTTTCACCTGAGGGAACGGAATCTGTAATAAAGTATCCAAATAGGAGTTCAGTTTTGTAGACAACACTTTCTACAAACCTGTGACAATCCCCTAAAACTTCAGTTGTCAGTTCCCAATGTCACTTGGATGCCCCAGAACAATATTCGCAATGGACAGAGAGTGATTGGGATCCTAGAGCCACATGCAAAGCTAGATTGCTGCATTACCCAAAGGGCCATGCGCTAAGGAGGGCTGGGCTTAGTCAATGAAGCCCAGGAGAGGCTCATTATTACTGTGCTCATTGGTTTGAGTTTGACTTCCAGAGTCTTTCTCTTGGTGGTAAATTTGATCTTTGCAGTGTGTGTTCACAGAATCAGAGGCTCCAGTGCTGGGTCACGAGACAACAGAGGTAGCGTCCCCGCAGTGCAGTTGTTTGTCTGTGGCTGGTTGAGTCACAACAGGCCGTGACTGAGTTCTTTGTGCCTCTAAACTACTTTCTGCTTCCAGAGTTCAACCCGGCCTCACCTCATTCACCCTCCAGCCTCGGGTGTGGGTGCCTGTTCCGGTTCTGCAGTCCAGGTCTCAACGC